GAAAGGAAAAAATATATGGATTTAGACTGACTACTTCCTCCAAACTTCATCTTCAGCAACAGAACTAATATGGAGAATGCCGAGATGCTTGACCTGTTTTAACACTGTGGAACATTTCCTTTTGCTTAGGTCTCTCTAGGTTTATTGACTTAGTGCTTTGAGTGCTTTGAGTCAAGTTCTGTTTGCCATGTGTAATTGCTCATCTGTAGACACAGGAACAGCACTGTGGTTTCTTCCTGTAAAATAAATCTTTCCATTGCTGTATTTAATACATTTAGTTTGTTTAAATGTTTCTGAAGTGTATGACAGTAGGGAAGTGGGGAGATAATATAAGACATTCCTTTTTTGCTATTATTCTGAGGTAATTTAGTATTAAAAATTACCATATTGCACAGCCAGATTTTCGAATAAGGAAATGAATACATGAAAATGTTATGATTTTTAAAATGGATTAAATTAGGTTTTCTTAATATTTTAAAAGCTATAAAAATAGATACAGAATACATTGTATTTACATTATTTGATAATTAATTACCCAAACTATGTTTTAGAAATAACATCTAAACCTAGTTTGTATTTTGACACTGTTGAAAATCAGGCTGTAAATGCATTTAACGTGTTGTTTCCGTCTAGTGTAAACTCTTTATCACATACAGTAGTGATGAAGCTAAGGATGTGATAACATTGCCAAATATACTCATTTAATTGGTAACCAATACTTTTCTTGTGCTTGACAGCACATTGTTTTTCCATACAAAGAACCTCATGACAGCAACTTCAGAAGTTCTTTTTACTGCAAAACAGTAGGTATCATAAATGACATGTACTCTGTCCTAGACAGGCAGATATTAGATGCTGTGAGGCCATGCTTTGCCTATATCCATGCATTCCTTGAAGGATCATGCACAGAATGTGCTCTGTTCTTTCCTGTCAGAATGTTTTTCTTTGTACTGCTATTACTTAGGATTTCTCCCCTGCCTCAGTGTTTAACACGTGTAGTGATTTCCTCATCAGATTTTACACTATGGTTCTGTTGCATGTTTACATTTTCCATTTTATCGTTGAACAGTCACTAGATTTGCACGTTGGCTCCAGTAAAGCCACCAAGTGCTTTTTTTTGCATATCGCCAAAATGAGGATAATAAATCACAGTTACATTCCAATGATACCTGTCACATCCAGGCAATCCTAAGCTAGTCGATACTCCACAGGCTGACAGGAAAAATAAAAATGCAACCTGTCTCATTCTTTTCAGCAGAAACATTTTACATTTTGTGATGGAATAAATGGAGAAGGGATTTTTGCTGTTGAGTCATTTGGTTGGAGAAATAAGTTTTAATTTTGGTAGCTTGACTTTAATCTGTTTTTTTATCAAAACACTACAAGATAAAAGACTAATTAGGCAGCAGATAAATGAGAACATTCAAACAGTTTTGTGCCTTAGAAACCAGGCAATTTCCATAATTAAACTGTTGTGTGGTGTTAATAGATTGATGTTGGCAGCTAGTAACACAATGGTTCAAGAATAAAGGAGGGAAAGAGGCTGAATGAGCAGCAGCACTGGATTGTAAAAGGAGCTGGTTTGAGCAATATTCTCTAGCTAGGGTTCTGGAAAATGAAATGCTAAATCTAGATCTTTTGTACCAGTCAAACATTTTTATATCTGCTTGGGGAATCCTGGTCGCAGTCTGTTAGTGACATTATACAGGTTCGTATTCATGATGTCTGTACAAGAAAATTCAACATTTTTTAGCATAGAACATACTGTATGTGTGTACTCCATTGAGGTAAGATCAAGATCACAGATGACCAAGTCATAAAAGGGACTTCTTCAGAATGAACGATAATACAAGGACCCAAAGACACAGGTGGAAATTAAAGTTAGGACCATTCACAACAGAAAAAAAATAAATCTGTTGGAATCTGCTACCCAACCAGCTGTTGTACCTGTGTACACCATGTGGTTAATGAAAATTCAGCTTGGTCAAATTCTAATAATGACCAAACAAGCCAATGAATATGGACGGCTGGCACATTTAATAACGTGGTTTTAAATCACCTGGCTGAGGAAATAACAGTGTTAGTCAGACATTCCTCACTTTCAGGAATGATGCAGAGAGAAGCAGTGACATTGAAGTGGAGGGAGGAGTGCTAGAAAAGACCACAGTGTGGGGTGGAATGGAATGAGAATGCACACAGTTTTTCCACACAAAGATATTGATTTCTGGCTGATTTTTTAAAATAATGACAAAGTAGAATTTTTGTTTATTATTTGTATAATGAGGTTAGTTCTATCTATTACTAAGGCTAAGTGAGGATTAGGTTATGGTCACATTTGTGAAGGTATTTTACACCATAAACTCCTAAGGGCGGTGTACTTACTATTTTACCATACTGTACATTTTAAAACCTCATTAATAACAAGAGCTGCATGGCATTGCAGGGTGTAACAGCGGCAGCTGCAGCCAGTGTGATTGAATATTGTTGCTCTACGCAGTGCTTCACACTGCTGGTGTGTTCAATTATTTAGCTGTAATTATGTTGGAAATAAAGCAGCAGCCTCTTCAGTTTCTACTTGAAGTTGTAGTTCAGAGTGCTGTATTCAAAACTAGCTTTGCTGTGCATTTAATATTCATCAAGTATCCTGGGGTACAGAATAAATTGCATATCATAGAAATATAAATAAAAATAAGTACATTAACATTTTAGCTGAGAAGTAGCTTGAGGGTGCTGCACAGAGACAACAATTTTGGGAAAAAGTGCTAATGAAAATCAAATCATTCTAATCTGTAATGAGAATCCTTCTTGTATGTTAATTAGGCCAGTAGTATAATTTAATAGGTTATATTATTTATTGAAATGTGGATGAACTTAATCTCATGCTTATATTGTGGTGGTTTTCTCACAGACTGCTTGTAGGGCAATAAAAATAATCCAACACTTTTACCTTCATGAGAAAGCTTAACGTTAAGAGATATATACTGAATGTGACTGAGAGGAAGTATATACTGCATATGATATGACTATGAAGACATTCAAACTGAAAATGTAATAGAACATATTCAGTATATCTGGATATACACTGATATTTACAGAATATATGATACCTGACTGTTCCCAGTGGAATGCTACAAAGATTGGGAAAGTTCCTTACTTCGCTCTTCCCAAACAAACCTTTTCAAGTTTCACACCCTTACTACACACATTGAACTCTCTTCTCCACAGTTGAGCAACATTTTGTTATTGGATTTTTTAAATAAGAAATAAACAAGATAAATCCTTCAGGAACCAGGCTTTTCCTATAGAATATGGGATTCTTGAAAATGCTCTAGTGTATTTAAAGGTTTGTTAAACACCCACATAAGAGATGTGGACATATTTTCTACAAGCACTGGGGATTCAGTAAATCTGAAGAAGACTTTAATTACCAATAGTAAAATTTCCCCGAGTGTTTCATGTGAAAGAATATATTAACTGTAATTTTAGAACAGACAGCAGGGTTATGCACTCATTCAAAAGTAAGATCTTTAAACACACTTGAACTGTTTCAAATTGAAATGGCCAGGGAATTTCCAGCCACTACACATTTTTGTATTTTAATTTATTCATATTCTATGTTTATTTTGCTAGCATTGAAATCCATATTTAGTTAATTTTCTGCAGCTCTGCCAAATTTCTGTAACGGTTTCTGGTGTATTGATTTGCACACATTGACATAGTCATTTTTCTTTGGGAGTTTTCTGTTGTTTTATTTTTGAGTGACAGTGACAGCTTTCACAATGTTGATAAGATAAACCCGTTTTTGCGAATGACAGGAGTGTTCTTTCTTATTCATGGAATTGGAATTTATTTAACATTTCGTGTCTGATCACTGCATAGTTCTATACTGATGGCACTATTCGGGTAAAATGCCTGCTTTGTTTCTTAAATACAACAGACAGTTACCATCCTGTTACACTCAAGCTTTGAGCATATTAGATGAAGACCCATAATTGCCAATGATTAGAAAGAAATATTGTTAAATTAACCAGCAGAAGATGCACCAATTACTTCATTATTCCTCAGGTCACTTTATCACAGTGGCACGATAACAAATTTGAGGTTTCAGGCTAAAATGCAACTGGAAGAGGTCACTGTAAATCACCTCTGGGTTTCACTGATCCTCTAATAATCCCTTACAGCATTGCCTCCAAAACCTGAATTAATTAGCTTTTTAATGAAAGAAAGTAGAAATTATAAGAAGATAAATATTTTCTTGGGGGGGGGCTTTATTACAGGCAACTTTGTATAGAAAATCTGCTTCAGTCCTCATGTGTTATGACATAATGACGCAGAGCACAAAGAATGTGGAAGTTAGCAGCATTTTCTCTGCATGGCAAAATAGATTGCCATTTTTGCTAAATAATACCAATATACATATTAATAGAAATTGTGTCCTCGAAATGTTGTGATTTTTCTACAGAAAAGGGAACTGAAATTAAAAGTTAATCGGAATAAATTTAAATTAATATATATATATAGTGTATAGTGTAAACAGGATACCTCCAATCTTGGCATGGTCATGCAGTTTGTCAGAAGTAATTATCTTTACAAACTTTATTGATAGGATTTTTTTTCATGTCGATAATACTGCAGGGCTCTTATTGCATTGTATAATGTCTCTTTTGCAGAGCTAGAGAGATATATTTAATTCTGGAAACTGAAAGAAAATCAATAGATGGATTTGTTATATAAATGCAGATATACCAGAATGGTCTACTTTGTCAGATAATTGGATCTTCTTATTTCTGTAATGTATAAATCAGCATTTGAGTTCTTAATTAATGTTTTACAGATGTGTTCAGAATCAGTATCACAGCTATTATTTAACAATGAAATGCACCTTACACTTTCAAAACAACCCGTGAGATGTTAGTAAACAGGGTGAAAATGGCTATATGCTGGATCAATACAGCTAGAGCTTGGAACATTCTGATCACAAACTATTTAATCTTACTAACTTGTCCTCTTAACAGGTGGGAATGGGTGTAAATTCTCAGACGCTCTTCAGTGTGCCTTCCACGAATGTTGTGTCTATCTGAAACATGAAAGAGAAAACAAGGGTAAATCCACACATGGACCAAAAACTGCCAAATGTGAACAGCAGGAAAAAACAAACAAACAACAAATCAAAACAAGAACAAAATGAGTAGTTAAAAAATCTCAGTAATAAATACTGATAACCAAGTTGAAAAGAAACTTTTAGGGACATGGTTTCTTTTGATCTTGGTACCAAAAAAAAAAGGCAAGACAAAACAGGCAGTTTGAGGGATTATCATCTGTTCTACAACCAGATTAATTCTAATCCCGTTTTAACCTATTTGATCAGAGCCCAGGAATAATGTGTAATTAGGGCTGGACACCTGCAGGGGTGAGATAATCCAGACTGAGGAAGAGGAGTCTTTGTGCCTTAGCAGCACTTACACAGAACTGTGATGAATAAGGAGCCTTGTGGCCTTATCTCTCACTCCTCTTTGAACCAGTTGATACTAAGACTCTGTAATGAGTGCTGAAAGAGCAGTTTTTCTTGAATGCCCTCCTCTCCTGTCAGTTATGGAATCACCTATCACTACCGTCTCAAACTCCTCAGATGATCCTACAGCACCAAGATCATTTTTCGCAGTCCTCCCTTCTTTTCTGGCCATAAGGATAAAATTCAGAGAACCATGACTGCACTTTATTCCCTTCCTCCTCCATTCATCCGTAAATAAGGATTTACTTCTGCAGGGCCTTCCACTCCTTTTGAAGTGCAGAGCAGTTTTGTCATCTGATTTTTTGGAGGAGCTTGTCTATAAGGCATAATGCACAACAGACGGCTGTTTTAAAAGCAATTTAATGGCACAAAAACAGTAATTCGCTTAAGTGAGGCTCGAGGTTGGTGTTAATCTTCTGTCCAGTAATAAGGATTTGCAAAGTGTCTTTTATCTGTTGGAGAGGCCAAAAACACTCTTTAAAATCTTAAAATCCATCTATACTTCAATATGTAAGATTGTCTAGTGTACAGATATGCTGTATTGTAACTGTTGTAGTCATTCCTGCTGCATTTAAATAATTACTACACACCTTGGTCTACATATTAGGAACCATATTGTACAGCATGTTGGATGTCTGGAATCAGCGACAACAGTTTGTGCTGGATATGGCAGATATTCTAGAAGACTTGCAGCCAGATCAGTCTTCTAGCAGAATAATTTTCCATTGATGTTATGGGGTCAATGGTGTGTGTAGCTGAAAAACAAGTTCCTTTGGTTCCCAGTTGGTAAGAGAATTGAGATCTGGGAATTTTTTCTGTCCGGTGAAGATAATAGAAATCTTGTTTTATGCTTCATCGTGCAATGCTTGCCACTGAGAGTTTAAATTAATTTAATTTAACTTGAGTGAGTGTATATATCTTTTTGTGCATGCTTTACACACCCAGGCATGCCAGAAAGTAGAATGTACCATATATTTATCCCTATTGCTTGTTTTACTACTTAAAGTTTTTCTAATGCCTGATGGTTTAATCCCAAGTTTGAGGCAATTTACCATGCAAAACCTGAATATTTTGTGAATTGACTGAAATATACAGATGTACTGGTCCAATACAACGAGACCGAGGAATTGATCCATGGATTTTTCAATGTTGTTTTTGTGTGAGCAGAGAATTATTCTCAAGTAATAATGCTCACTACTCCATTAACATCTTACACTGGGTGGGGGTGTGAATCCAGTGCAGAGAGAGCGATACTGTACTGAAGGAGCAGAAGCTCTGCTGGAAACAGGCCTGGCCATAATCAGCATTCTTACTCTCATCTTTCATTCTTTTGTGTTTGTCAAGTGGGAATGATAAAACAGAATAAATACCCAGGAAAATCAGAATCAAAATAGATCACTGTGTGTTAGATGGTTTCCTGTTTTCCAGGGATGGCAGGGCTGATAATAGCGGAGAGTCTTTTTTTAAAGTGTGTGCCACTCTTGGCATTCCTGCAATGTTAAGACAAATGAAACAGTGTGTGACGTGACGAATTACAGCTGTCTTGTGTGAGACATGCAGGTGGACTCCAAACCCACTCCATCAGGAAGTCGCTTTGATAGCGAATCAAAATACTTCCGAGCACTTCTTCTGCTTAATCCAGCAAACACGAAATGGGACTCCATTTGAGAAACCTCTCAGAGGTTTGGCACGAAAGCACAGGGAAGGAAGTGTTTTTGTAAAAAAAAAGGTTTAAGAAACTCCGGAAAGGCATAAAACGAAGAGTCCTTTCAAAGAAGGTCACAGCTGAAGTACCAGCTCTGCCCTTGACTCAGTGTGTGTTACCCTGAGCAATGTACTGGGTCTTTCTTTGCTCCTTCAATTGGATTAGATATAAGGCCAGTGTCTTGCCATCCTTGACTGCCACAGGAGCTCTTCAAGCACTGATCATCTCCTCTCTGTAAGCATGAATAGTACCGCTGATGTGACTAGCAGAAACAAGTGATTTTGTATAGTTATTTGAATTCTGGTGCATCTGACTAGAGAATCAAGTACGTATAGTGTTTTTCCCCCACTTATCAGACCAAAAAAAAAAATCTAGAACCCCAGCTGATTTCTCTATGAAATCGAGCAGCATACTGAGCCCTTCTCCAAACTGTTTGATAGTCCAAGAGCAGACAGATTTCCTCCAGACATTCTGTGCTGGAGGAATTTATTCAGTCTATTCAATTTAATACCTTGGTAACATCCACCTCAGCACCTGCAACAAGAGGAACGCTTTCTGGTTTATATATTAAAACCTGATGCCAGAATCCCAAGCAATAATCTTTAAAAAGATCAGGTAGCTGCTCTTCTGTGCTGAAATTTTTAAATGCTTCCAACACTTTAGTTTTTTGCAGGATTTGTAGCAGCATGGATACAATGGGAAATACGAGAGCAGGGATCTTGATTCCTGGTCCTGGGGAGCTGGTGCCTGCAGGTTTTCTAGGTTTCTTTAAAGAACCAGCTCCTGAAACATTGAGAAAGGCTGTTAAACTGGTACTATAGTATTAAGCCAGTATTCAACAATTTAACGTCAAATAATCTTTGATTTGATCTTGCATCAGACATTTCTAGAACCACTGATTTTTCCCATCTCCCAATTAATAGGTCTATATCGAGTATATTAAGCATATCGTTCCAGAAATACCAGTCATGAATGACCCTTCCCCTGGTCACCTTACAGGGCATTTTAATATTTTGCAAAGGCTACAAAATGATTTCTAAAGACTTTGGGCTTCACCAATCCACTGTACATAGTGTACAAATGGAAAAAATTCCACACCATTGTTACTCTCCCCAGGAGTGGTCCTCCAAAAAAAAAATCACACTAAGAGCAAGACATATAATATTTCTGGAGATCTCAAAGAACTCCAGGGTAACATTTAAGGATCTGCAGGCCTCTCTTGCACTGGCTTAAGTCAGCGTTCATGAGTCCACCATCAGGCAAACACTGAACAAGAATAGTGTGCATGGGAAGATAGCTAGAGGAAGCCACTACTCTCCAAGATGAACATTGCTGCCCGTTTAAAGTTTGCTAAAGACCATCTGGATGAGCCAGAAGACTACTGGAAGAATGTTCTGTGGCCAGATGAGTCGAAAATAGAACTTTTTCACTTAAACGAGAAACATTATGTTTAGCAAAAAACAATTACAGCATTCCTACATAAGTACCTCATCCCAACCATGAAACACGACGGTGGCAGTATCATGGTTTGGGGCTGTTTTGCTGCCACAGGACCAGGATGGCTTGCCATCACTGACAGAAGTATAAATTCTGGATTGTACCAGCAAATTCTAAAGGAGAATGTCAGAGCATCCATTCGTGAACTGAAGCTCAACAGAAGGTGGGTCTTGCAGCAAGAGAACGACCCTAAAATACAAGTCAGTCTATCAAAGAATGGTTGAAGCAGAAGAACTTTCGCATTTTGGAAAGCCGAGTAAAAATCCAGGCCTTAATCCAATAGAAATGTTGTGGCAGGACCTGAAGTGGGGAGTTCAGGATCCAGTTACACTTACTTATAGACCGATGATGCTGATCAGCTTTGCTGGCTCTTAGCACAGCAGAAGCTTATTCTGTGAAAGCCCCCATGAGAATCAGTTTGAGTAATCAAGGAATTGTTTTAAATTAAAATAGAGATTAAATATTTGGAGACACTGTTACATTTGAAGGAAAATAACAGGGGGAATATGAGACAAGCTGAACAGATACAGTAGGCTGAATCTTTTTGTTTGATATTTAAATATGCGCATACATGCGAATGAAGTTGGGAGAAAGCTGTAAATTCTAAGCCTCATGAGCTGTGTAAGCATTCACTTTTTAAAATTCATTTCAATGTGCTTAGAATCCTCCTGGACTTGTTCCAGTCCTTTACACACACTGGCTTTCTGAACCCCTTTACAGCAGAACATGTTTTTTTTAATTATCATTTTTTTTTCCCTTTTTACCTCAGTCTGGTTTACTAATCATCTTGGCTCACTGCTTCAACCGTACGCCAGCACGCAGGAGGGACAGAAACAATGCACAGGTGTTCTCCACACACTGCAAGCAGAGTTGGGGTGTCAGATGGAAGGCTGGCATAGCTCACCTGTCTCTACAGGCTCACTATAGCCAGTGGTGCTATGGGGCACATTATTAAGGACACTGAACCTCTTCAAACCCATCCAACTCCATTGATGACACCCCTTGGGAGATCGTTATGACAGTCAGCTAACGTCTCATCACAGGTTGAGCTAGGAATTCAAGGATGTAGGTTTCAGTAGCAATATCACTACATTAAAGATCTGTTGTTTAATTGAAGCATTAATTCCTTTCGGTTTATAGCCACCCTATCTCAAAGTTAAAATGCTAGGAGCCTGTAGCAATGTTAGCTATACTCCATCTGAGGTTATCAGATTTACCTTCTAAGCCTGATGTATTCATTGCACTTTCTGTAATACTCTTCTCATTTACTCTGCCCTACTGCACCACAGTGATGTTGTAAAGGTCTGGAAAATGATGTCATCATGGGACAGCAACATTTTTGAATGCCTGAAGCATAACACAA